AGCCAAACCAGCTAGGGCCCATTCCTCTTTAAATTTTAGGTTTTGTAGAAATTTAATCATCTATGTATGAAAGAACTTTAATAGAGGACACCCTGCCTTGACTTTCTGGCTAAAAATGCAGAAAGCTGGAATGCAACTCATTATCACATGGACTCACTCAGCCATGAGTGCCTTTCTAAATGATCCTGGCAGCTGAGAACACTTTATAGCTTTTTCCGCTCTGTTTTAAGTCTTTTATTGAAAAAGTTCTTAGCAGAAGCGAATTCGTGTGCATTTCCCTTCCCTGCTCATAAAAACTGAGCTGCTCCTGCCAGAGGAGGAGGTGGGCAGGGCAGCGGTGCAGGTCACGGAGAACACGCTCCCCAATATCTCCACAGCTTTCATCACCTTCCCCCCTGGACCAATCAGGGCCTCCTCAGGAAATAGTCCCCCTCTCCTCCCACCCCTCAACACAATCCCACCGCTTTGAACCGCTCAGTAATTATGGAAGCTATCTTGAAAGAGCCCAGATGCTGTCATCCACTTATGCTTTATTGAGGGGGACCTCCCCAACGGGCAGCGTCCAGGCACTTTCTTTGTGCTGTCTCAGCACCATCGTTGCTGATGGAAGCATGAAAGCTCATTAGCATTGTAAGAGATTTTAATAACAGTTCTTAGTTAGACAATAGAAACGAGACAGGTTTCATCAGGAATGCCATGTTTGAATCACTCTGGCGCTAATGCAACCCGTGCTTCAATACGAGAATGATTCTCTTACCAGAGACGGGGAAATACGTACATTGTGCCTGGGAGACAGGGAGACTTTCGTAGGCATAGCGTTACCCCTTGGTTTTCACGGCTCTTTGTCTGCGTGTCTCTCGGGACGCAGGGAGTGCTCTGCTCTATAGCTCCCAATAGACAAGCTCTGCCTGCACCCGGGATCTGTCCAGAGATCGTGGTGAACACCCGGCTTTTCTCGGACCCTGGATCACCGAGCTCCAGGCCTGGGAGGTCAAGTAAACGTAATCACCAGCTGTGAGAACAAGCGTTGCAAGTGCAGATCTTTGCCTGAGCAAAGCGGCTCTTCGGCTCTTCGCCGACTCTCAGACCCTCGGAGCTGCAGGAGCCACAGCCTGGATGTCAAGGTTGTGTGGAAGGGTTGAGGAGCCTCTTCACAAGATTGCAAACTTCTGGGCAGCACCAAGCGTGTCCCTTCACCTTTGTGGCCTCTGAAAGCCCAGAAAGCCCAGCACAGGTCCTTGCTGAGGGAGGAAAGGTCACTGTCTAGTCAGCGGGTCTGGAATAAGGGGATTCCCCTTAGTTTTTCACGTCATTTTCTTCATGAAAGCTTTATTTTTTATTAAAGGAACATATTTGGATAAGTAATTACATATCACTCCTGTTAACTCTATTTTTAAAAATGCTTTTTAAAAAAACATCATTCCATTTGAGAATTTTGAAAAACGTTCTTTTTGCCATTCTTGGCTAAGAAGGCTGCATTTCCCGGGGATTTCATGAAACCTTTGTCAGGTACACACGGGAGCTGGCTTTCGCTTGACCCTTCACCCTCGCCCTCTCCGTGAGGCCACCCCCTCCTCTGAGGTACATGCCTTCAGCCCAGTTGCCACCCTTTTTTAGTCGCCAGAGAACCAGCTTCTGCCACCTGCTCCGTCTCTTGGTCTGCCTCTGCTCTTTGCTGCCCCCAAATCCCAACACCAGCCAGGTTCGTCCCTGCTGGGCTGTCCAGGGAATCGGGACAGGTGGGCATGGGGTCTAATCCCAGTTAACGGGGTAAGTCACAGTGGGGCGTAGACACTCATTAAACACTCTGAGGGGGTCACCCATCCATGTGAAAATGTACAAAGAGGTAAAAATGCCTGCATTTTAGCCCCTTCAAGACTTCCTTCTTAGAGAACCCTTGAGTCCGAAAGAATACATCAGCTTGCAGTGAACTACAGCTTACTCAGTTTAGCTCAAGAAAGGGGCTTATTTGAAGAGAGTTACCTGTTTCCAGGAGAAGTAAGCAAGCCGGCCTGGGACAACGGCAGGCAGGTGGGGCTCAGGACCTCCGCAGGGGCGATGGGCCTGCACACCGCACACGCCCCTCTGGCTCTGAGGGTTGGGAAGGGGCGGTTCCTACCCGGTGCCCAGGCCTGACCAGCCAGCTGTGGCCTGAGGTGTGGGGCTGCCCTGTCTGGGCGGTGAGGTTTAGACACGCAGGTGAGCTGGTCCGTGCTCACTGTTGTTCCTGGGTGCTGACAGTCCTCCTTCAACACTACAATCTAGGCAAGCAGCCATCTAGGGGGGTCTTTCCATTTATCTTTTGAGAAGATAATGTCCAAAAAATGACATTTCTCTCATCTTTATTCCATTAAGAATTTGGCTGATAGGAATTTAATTTGGCTCTCTCTTTCCCTTGACGGACAGTTTTCAGACTAGGAAGGGTTGGATGGGAAGAGGAACAGACTTTGAATCATTTAGCAGAAGTTCTCTTCTAGCTGTTGCACATTCAACAACTTAAAAGCAGCCCGCAGTCACTCGCTTCGAGGCTCCCTGTGGGATAGACGCTTTAAGGCAGCGGTTCTCAACCTGTGGGTCGAGACCCCTTTGGTGGTCGAACGACCCTTTCACAGGGGTTGCCTAAGACCATCCTGCATATCAGATATTTACATTACGATTCATAACAGTAGCAACATTACAGTTACGAAGTAGCAACGAAAATAATTTGATGGTTGGGTCACAACGAGGAACTATATTTAAAGGGCCAGAAGGTTGAGAACCACTGCTTTAAGGAAAGATGCTAGTAACGGGTATTGAATTAGTGTTCCATGTCAGTGGCTGTGCTAAATGATTTTACCTGTGTGAGCTAATTTTAATTCTTTAGCAAATCTTTGAGCTAGGTGCTGCTACTGTCCCTCTATTCAGAGCAAAAGATAAGACCTGGAAAGGTTAAGTAACTTTTCAACAAAAAGAGATTATCTGAGTTCACCTAAGTATTAAATGTATGGGGGGGAAGGTAGTGGAAACAAATTGGACAGGCAGGTATGGGGACATCACGCCCCGAATGCTACACTGAAGATTTGGGGGTTATTCTGTTGGTAACACAGACCCACTGAGGTTTTTGGATCCTGGGGCTGATACCAGAACCGTCCTGTGGAAGTTTCTCTGGCAACAGTGCGTGGACCAGGGGAGACGAAGGGGGCCGCTGGTGAGCTGCCGAGAGAAGCGTGAGGGGGATGGGGACCAGGTGGGAGCTGGGGGACGGAACAGTGGAGAGCGTGGTGGTTTGTCTTTCCCTCCAGTTTACATCCCCGCTCGGGGCCTTGTTTTAAACATCCTAGCATAGACTCCCACCTGTTCAGAAGCCGCCTAGTATTGCAGTGGCATAAAACAATAAAACAACAAAACAAATGCAATTGCTACATTTTGAAAACCTTTCCTTGTTGACCAGTTACCTCGTATTGTGAGGAAGCAACATGATTGACTTCTGAGGAGCCCGGTGTTTAGTGCAGCATTTGTCCCCCAGAAAGGGACCCCCACGCACACCCACGCGCCTGCACAGCACTTGCCAGAGCAGAGGGAAGAAAACAGAACCTTGTGCGAGGGGTGTTTGCCACGCAGGACGGGGGCTCGTTTGGTGTATCTCACGTTCCTCTCCCGTGGCCTCGGGGTTCCTAACAGGACACACTGCTGCCGGCGTTATTGGTCACACAGGTGCAGCTGCCTGGGGTCTGAGCAAACAGCCCTGGTGTTGCATGTCTCTCATTCTCAAGCCTCGTCTTTTATCCCAGAAGAACTTGTGGGTGATCCTGTTTGAAGGAATGTTTTATAAGCATTGGGCTCTCCTGGGGTTTGAACCAAACCCAGCTCCGGTGAAGTTCACCTCACCCAGAGGAGAATAGACCCAGTGACTCCAACCAGTGGGCACTCTGGGAAGGGCGGTCCCTCCCCTGGACCTGTGTCCTTGATGCTTTTGTGGAGCAAGCGTGAGTTAAGCACCGTGTGTTCCAGACATGGTGCTGCACATGGGGGAAGCACCATGAAGATGGGCCAGAGCTACCAGGATAGTTGGATGTGTGGGCACAGATGCAAGTGTGGAAACATATCAAGACAAAAAATGTCGAAGATGCTTTCTCAAGATTTCGTAGATCCGTTGACCCTGTAAGCTCCTGAAAGGCATAATTGAGAGAGAGAGAGAGGGAGGGAGGGAGGGAGGGGAGGGAGAAGAGAAAGGAGAAGAGAAAATTAAAGATCAAAGGGAAAAGTTTTAGTTCAAAAGCTTAAGAGCCCTTGGGGATTAAGAAAAAATTCCATAAGCCTACAGAATAATAAACTTAATATGAATAATATTCACAATGTGAGATTTTCAATTTAACTAAGAACTAGAGATATTTATGTGTTAGAATGGGAGCTTCAGTTTTTTGTTAGTTTTATGTTTTATTTCCCTCTGGATCCTAGTAATGAAAATCCTCACGGTGCTCAGGAGGGATTCCTGCTGCCTCAGGGTCGGTAAAGACGAGGGTTGAGCCAGGGCTGCACCCTGGGTCCTGAAGGTGGTGCAGTCAGGAGCATGGGGCTGGGTTCTCAGAAGGGCTTGCCCTTGGCAGGGACGCCCTGAGGTCAGCCTCAGGGGCGGCTGTGAGATCTGGGGATTCATTGCTGACTTGGAATAATCTGTAGTTCGAAGCCTGCCTTTGCCACTCGTAAGTACCCCATAGACATAGAGCTTCGATGCCATAGAAATCTTTATTTTATTGCATTGTCAAATGTAACACAATATCAAAGAGTAACACGCTGTCAATTTTCCTGAAGTCTAATCCTAATAAAAAATATTGTCTCTAAGGATAAAATGCATTAAGGTGATGTGTATAGGGAGAGAGGTGCGAGGAAAGAAAGGCCGTACCTCCTCTGTTTCTCTGCCTGCATTTTACATTCTATAAGCATTTTCTGTTATCTAAGGACGAGCGAGCTGAAGATGTGTCAAGTTTTCCTGATAAATAATGGTCACTCTCCTCTCTCAGCAGATTTCTGCACATGGCAGATCTTCTTCCAACATAAATGGCGGGCCTGAACTTGATCGTTGCCTGAGTCCCGAAGGTAGTTCTCAATCTGATGTTATGTTTATAAAGGAAGTCACCCGTGCGAACTTGGTGGCCACCCCAAATCCACATGTGCTCAGTTATCTTCCTAAGCAGGGAGGTGATCATGTCACCAGTTTGGTCTTAGTGGGTTGTTAATTAAGCTAGTCCAATCTCACATTTTAGACTTGAGCTTTTTTTATTTTTCCTTAGTGGCAACCTGCTCACAAGTCCTAAATATAGACTTTTCTTTCTCTCAGTTAGTTAACAAAAGAGTTTCTTTATATGATGTTTGCAATGTCCTGGGTACTGGAGATACATTGTAAAAAGTGGTTCATCTTAACCACTTCTTCGTCCTGTCCTCTACCGCCCACTACCACCACCTTTTTGAGAAGACTTTGAGCCAGGAATGAGCTTTAATATCTATAATAATAAAAGGGTAATATGCTATTTAGACCGGATGTCTTCCGGACGTCATTCCGATGTCCTTCCTGATGAAGCCAGGCCAGAGGGAAGCCAGCCCAGGTCCCGGGTGCCTGCGGGCAGCTGGAGGAGGAAGCCTGGGTCCCGGGTGCTGGAGGGAAGCTGGTGCCGGCAGCCGGGGGAAGGAAGGCCTACTCTTGCACAAATGTTCGTGCATCAGGCCTCTAGTATATATATATATATATAAATTGAATTTATTGGGGTGACATTGGTTCGAAAAGCCATACAGGTTTCAAGTGTACAACTCAATAAAACATCATCTGTGTACTGCATCGTGCACCCATCTTCTCAAGCAAAGTCTCTTTCTGTCCCCATTTTCTGCCCCTTTGCCCACCTCCACCTACCCTCCACCCCCTTTTCCTCTGGCCATCTCCACACTGTTGACTGTGTCTGTGTGTTATTTATATATGGTTGTTTGATTTATTTTTATTTTTTTTGCTAATCCCTTCACCTTCTTTCACCTAGTCTCCCCTAGCCCCTCCCCTCTGTCAGCTGTCAGTCTGTTCCATGTATCCATACCTCTGTTTCTATTTTGTTTGTCAGTTTATTCTGTTAATTAGATTCCACGTATAAGTGAGATCATATGGTATTTGTCTTTCTTTGAGCCAGTTATTAGCTTTAACAGGCATCCTAGCTGGCTAGAGTTTTCTTTACTAAAAAATCTTGAGGAGAAATCTTGTGACAATATCTAAGGTTAAATCCCAACATCATCCCCTTCTTCTTTCTCAAATTTGACAAAAAAGTTTGAAGTTTTCGTTAGACTTCTTTGTTACACAAAGAATCGCTTATTTTAGCTGGTATTTCAGATATTTGTTATCTTTATTGATTATATTGGTTTCTGATGCCAACCAGTCAAGTCGAAAGAAAATCGGTGATTCAGGTATTCTATTCAGACAATATGCTCAGAGACTTTCCTTATAGTTTTACCATAGATTTAGAAATAAATGCATTGCAATTGATTGTTTGACAAGTATATAGGAATCAAGATGAAATCTTGGTGTGTTCTTTCAACTTTGCATTTATCCTCTTTCGTAGGCATAAATGGAAACAGGTGCATTGAATCTTCAACTCTTCTTGAGAAGTACAGAATTGGAAAGGTTATTGGTGATGGCAATTTTGCAGTAGTCAAAGAGTGCATGGACAGGTGAGTGGATGGTGAGGATAATCATTTTTCCACCTACCCATACATTTCTCCTTGGAGTTTATTCTTAACCGGAGTGAACACAAGATTTTATGAAAGAGCCTAACTTTGGCCCCAGCTGTTTTGCATGCCCACAAGCAGTTTTTCAGGGAAAAAACATGTATTCAGATAGAGTATACGTACACCTGCTTTGATTTTGATTGAGCAATATATCATGTCTCATCCACGAGCCAGAGAACACTGGGAAAGAATTAGATGTATTCTTTAAAAATCTCGTGGAGCATTTCCCTGTACTAGGCACGGCTCTCAGTGGTGTAACTCGTTTAGTCCCCACAGTGACCCTCTCAGTTAATACTGCATGTACCAGTAGTTCAGGATGCATGAGCCATGACTCCATTGATCAGTGTTCAGACTGTTGCCTATATTAGAATTATATCTTTGTTTGTCCAGCTTTATTTTAAGGTCCTGAATTCTCAAGTGGTAAGAAAAGCATTCATTCAAATTGCAGGCCTTTCGTAAACATCAAAACCGGAAAAGACTCGGATTAGTCTCTGTGTTTATATGCCTGCCACTTCCCTGCCTGTTCTCAGTAGTATTTTTACTCTTTGTGGGGAATTTTCAGGAAGCTCTGGCAACCACTGCTTTTCCATTCTGCTGCACCTCCTTGTGGTGGTGCCATTAGAAATCCGAGGCAGGGTTTGGTTTATGTTATAGGGAAGCAACTTAAATAAAAGTTATTTTTCCAAGGTGGCCTGACTGGTGGGTAGTGTGACCACTGGTCAGAACTGCCATATTCCAGAACTTCTGAAACGTTCGTTGTTGAACTGTTTTCCTATATGCGAAATATTTTTTGGCAGGTTCAGACTAAAATATGCGAAAGGTGATTAAATGTTAAATAACAACAAGAGTTGTGCGTCCCCGTAAATGATCTCTCTGGTGCCAGAAGCGGGCATCCAGAGTGTGGCGAAGATGGCACCAGATGGAGTTGGAGCTGAGAAATAGATATTGAAAGTCTGGGGACTTTTGAAGGTTTGAATGATGGACTAATAGATTAATGTGAAGACGTATTGGTAATAGGAAGTTTTCAGCTACTTTGAATCATTTTTCCTAATTTTATTCTGCCTTTTTTTAAAAAATATATTTTATTGATTTTTCACAGAGAGGAAGTGAGAGAGATAGAGAGTTAGAAACATCGATGAGAGAGAAACATCGATCAGCTGCCTCCTGCACATCTCCCACTGGGGATGTGCCCACAACCCAGGTACATGCCCTTGACCGGAATCGAACCCGGGACCCTTGAGTCCGCAGGCCGACACTCTATCCACTGAGCCAAACCGGTTTTGGCTATTCTGCCTTCTAAGGGAACTATCTTGAGGTTTAAGTATTAGAAAAAACAGTGTTTTGTCCATGTCCGATACAGCAGAGTTTAAGTACTTTTAATATGTAAATTATTTCATAATAATATGTAAAAAAAGGAGATAGACAGTGTGGCTTTGGATTTTTTTCTTTTCTTTTGGGGGGTACCTTTCTCCCTGACCCCAGGCCGCACCGTCTCTGATGAGCAGAGGAAGCAGTCTTTCCTCCCTGAGTCTGTGCTGTGGAGGAAATCGGGGAGGATGGTGCTATCTTATCTATGACTGACGGCTTTAAATGGCCTTCCTCTGATTATTCCGTAGGTCCACCGGAAAGGAGTTTGCCCTGAAGATTATAGACAAAGCCAAATGTTGTGGAAAGGTACAGTATCCATAACTGCTTTGTAAAAGAAACTGAGAAACCGCGGTAAGATGATGATTGTGCTGAAGGCATTGAAGTGAGGATTTGCCAAGTCCTCAACAGGAATAAACCTGTGAAACTAGTGCAGGAAACACTAGGAAGCTTTTTTTTTTTTCCTGCCATTTTTCAGAAACCTTAATCCTAAAGCAGTACATTGTTTTGATCTTGGCGCTCACTATCAAAAAATATACTAGAAGAGGTCAGTGGAGGTAAAGGGGGACATGTGTAATACTGTCACCAATAAAGATTAAAATGTTAAATTTTAATCTCTTCTCTAGGAGATGCATATTTCAAAATAAAACCCAGAACCACACAAAAGGTGTCAGAAGTCTGAGACTTTACCCTCCTTTCAAACTAACAAGCTGGCCTTCCAGCTTTAATGACGCTGGCAGATGTACCAGTTTTACATAAAAGGAGACAGAGTTTCAGGTTAGATAGCAGAGGCAGAGCAGGGGTAGGAATTTTGGGCTAGTTGGTTACTCAGCCTATACATTGGCCAATCTATCATGCTCCCTCTGCAAGTTAAATTTATTAAATCGTTCATGTAATGAGAACCTGGGGGGTGGGGGGTGGGATTCTTAACCTGTCTGCTCTTCGGTTTGCTTGTCTGCAATATACATGAGCATTATTAGGTAAGTTTACCTAAAAGTTGACGTGTGCAAGATACTGTGCTACAAGTATAGTATTTTAGCATATAAACAAATACCAGTTCTGCAAAATGGAGAGTATGTGGGGAAGCATATGAGAGAGAAATAAATGATCAGAGAAGACACCATAGAGCAAGAAGCATTTGCGCTGGGCTCCCAGCAGGGGGCAGGCTTTCAGCAGGAAGCAATGAAAGGAACTCCTGCCTGTGGCCACAGCCTGAGCAAAGGCCCCACGCATGGAGAGCATGCTCGGACCTTCTAAGTAGGAGAGCATTGCAAGATCAGCTTTGGGGCCAGATTTATGGAGGCTGTTGAGAAGGCTGTGGTGTTTGTAAATTTTAGAATTCTTCCATGTCTAATATGCTAAATAATGTTCATTCTAAATGAATATTTATTGAATTCCCACAGTGTCTGAAGCTCTGAGCTTTCTGTTATGGTGCTTAGAAGTGGTCCTTCCTTCTCTTCCCACAGCCTTGCATTCATTATCCACGTGTTATGAGCCCAAGCAGGACATAAATCCAAATGAATGTTGTAGTCGTTTCCTAAGGATGTTGGAATAAATTACCACAAACTCGGTGGCTTACCACAACAGAAATTTATTCTCTCACGGCTCGGGAGGCCCTGGGGGGAACCTGCTCCTCGCCTCTGACTGAATGGCTTCTGGTGGCGGATGGTGGTCCTTGGCTTCTGGCCACATCACTCCCACCTCGGCCTCCATCTTCACCTCACTCTCTCTCCTGCGTGTTCATTTTTCCTCTTGGGGTGGGAAACCGCCCTCTGCCTCTTATCTCCTAAGGCCAGCTGCGAGGGCACCCAGCTAATCCAGAGCGATCTCTTCCAGAAACCGTAATCACATCTGTAGATCTTCCCCCCCACCCCCCAAATAAGGCACCATTTACAAGTTCAGGGGCTTGCTCTCTTTGGGGGACGATTATTCAATCCACTACATAGCTCCACCACAGAAATCACAGACGGTGATTTAAACATTTCTTTCTCTGACTGCACCCTCCTCAGCGATACTCAGAGGGCACAGCGATACCAGCTGTGAAGCCAGTGCCCGTCAGGAGCCATGCGCAGTGTGTCTCCTCACTCACTCAAGCACTTCAGGACTCACTGGGCCGGTTACTGGAGAGCAAGATAAACAAAAGTCTCCAGGAAAGCCAGTAGGAGCTGTGCGGGGAGCCAGCACAGAGGGCCATGAGAGCAGCTGAGAGGCGTACCTCACCCGGCAGGGAGGTTGTGTAGAGGAGGTGAGATCTAAGCTGGTCTTGAGGAATAAACGAATTCACCAAGATGTGGGGAAAGAACGTTCCAGACGGAGAAAGTACCTGTGCAAACGCCTAGAGGTTTCTGGGGATGGAAGTGAGTGGATGGATTCAGTGGCTGTTGAGAAGGTAGACCTGGTGGTGCAGGAGCTGTACTGGAGGGTGAGGGAGGGAGGTTGGGTGTGGGGGGATTTCTGTCTGCTCTGGGCAGCCAGGTTCCTTCAGTGAGACAGGGCACTGGAGGAAAGGACTGTGTGTTTTATGGGGCTGGGCAGTGTGGAGACAGGATGATTAGTTTGGGTTTGGGAGAGTTGTTTATTCCCTAATCTCCCTCCCTCCCTCTCCCTCCTGCTCTCTCTCTTTGTCTCTCTATCTATCTCTATCTCTGTCTCTTGTAGTCAAAGCACACAGACAGAGAAAAGGCGGTGTCCTTTGCCAAGTTAGCAGTTTTCCTTGTCATTTACTCTCACACAGATCCAGGGCACACTGCCAGGAAATGATTCATATGTAAATTATTCGGAGTCAGAACCATGAATCACTTAGCATAAATAATGGTAGATGGTCGAACAATGTTTAGTTCAGTGCAGTTCAAGGCAAAAGTGGTGTCCCTATTGTATTTAGAAATCTTTTCCTGGAAAATGAAATCTTGAGAGTATTTTTAGGTATTAGAAGCGGAGATACGTTCTGGGTTGCATGAGAAATGGGAAGGTAATATTTGTAGAGATTTTCATGCACTGCTTTTGTTTTGCTTCTGACGGTGATTCCTTTAAAAGTGGATTCACAGACAACCACACAGGCGTAGTCAGAGGCTGGGAACAAAGGCTAGCGGCTCCCACATCCCAACAGCAGCATTTGCTCTGTGCTTAGAATACCAGCCACTGTCAAGTAGGACACAGTGATCTGAGGTAACATGTGGTGGTAGAGAAAATATTGCTGCACAATGTAAAATGCAGCACTGCCCGCAGTCCAGGGGAAAGTCCTCCCTGACGTCCCAGGAGCCTTTCTGTTACGCTTTCCATGGGAAAAGACAACTTTGGGGAGGTGCAGTCTCCTTAGGCGGTAGACATCCCTTTTTAACTCCAATTTGAGAGAGTTCCTGGGTCCTGGTGATGGGGATTATTTTACATGCTACTTCATAACTGTAATGTTGCTACTGTTATGAATCATCATGTAAATATCTGATATGCAGGATGGTCTTAGGCGACCCCTGTGGAAGGGTCCTTCGACCGCCAAAGGGGTCACGGCCCACAGGTTGAGAACCGCTGCCTTAGGCGGTAGACATCTTATTTTAACTCCAATTTGAGAGATCCTGGGTCCTGGTGATGGGGATTATTTTACATGCATCACTCTCAGTGAGCATCACAAGCAGAGGTAAATTTACAGACTCTTCCAACTTTGGCGGAAATGGGGAGGAGGGAGAACTGAAGTGATACGTCCATTTAGCTTTTCTAAAAAATGCCTCTTTTACTACAGTGGTAGCGACTGCTGTCCTGGCTTCACAGAGAGGGGAATGGGTTCATTTTCTCCCCTTTGTGTTCAGGGAAGGGCAGCTCACTCTGCTCCCAGCGCTGGGCACGGGATGCGGCCCTCCCAGCCCTGCTCGCTGAGGGCACGGGTGTTCCTTCCTGCTCCACGCCTGGTGTGGGTCTGCCTGGCTGCCCAGTTCGCTATGATGCAGCCTCTCGTTCCTGTCTTTTTGAGCAATTAAATGTATACAGCTGTGCAGCTATCATTTCATTTTTGAAAAATTCCAACTTGACGTTGACCAAAGCAATCTCCTTTGAAAGGTGATGTTGTGTAGCACAGGAAGTGTGGGCTTGGATGTCAGGAACCTGGGGTTTGCATTCTGCCTCGAAGCACTGTCCTAAAGGATGAAGGGTGAGGATGTTGTCCTAAAGGATGAAGGGTGAGGATGTTGCACAAGCACCCTGCACAGCGATGGACAAACAGTGACTGGACTCCTGGTCAGCACTGGTTCTTTTCTCTCCCCTGCCTCCGGTTAGCATTTGCACCGTCACTGGCCAGTGTTTACCTGGACAAGCACAGGGCATTCCACGCTCAAGAAACACAGCCCACCCTGTGCCGGCGCTTGCAACGGACTTTCTCTGTGTATTACTTATTGTTAACATTTATACTTCCAACTATTGTCAGAAAAGCATTGGAGATGGCTTACGGTGAGAACACACGTTCACATGGATGCATGAAGATAAGAGAGGAACCATAAAATTTGAAGTTTTATCTCTGTATGTTCCAGGACCAAGTTCCGTTTTTTAAACAGAATGAGAGCATGAACTAGAGATAAGATCATTGTGTTCCCACTGCAGTGGAACACTAAATTTAGTTCTGGAATTCATGATAGCAGAGGCACAAGGGACAGTGTAAGGGACACACACACATGGATATATACACATATGTATTTAGGTAGCAAATGGTGTCTATAGAATGTGTCAGAGGGCAGCTTGTTAATTTTACAGAGTGTACCCCAAATTCAAGACAATTCATTATTACAGTTAACGAGGACCGACGGGTGTGACGTTATTGAGAAGTTTCATGTCTCATGATAAAACAGAGCAGCAGCAGTTCATGACCCATCGTTGCGTGTGGAGAATAACTCCTCCATGCCGGGAGTAAACTTGTTGATGCAGGGCAGATCCCCAGGACTGACAATCGGGTGGTATTTTCAGAGGAGAAGTGAGTAGGGTTAAAATCAGAATCATGGTCCCCGTGTGCACGTATATATCTTGGTTTCTGAAATACAGGATCATCAGGAGCATCCTCTGGTGAACGAAATGTTAATGCCCAAGTCATGTGCCACACGCATGCTGTTTCCTCTTATGCCCAGTTGTTGTTTCCCAGGGAACGGGGATTAAAACGTGGCTCCCACTGGAGTACAAGCACAGTGCCGCGTGCCTGCACTTTGATAGCGCCACAGCCCCCTGAGGTGTTGGAGGCCGTGAAGAGACAGGAAGGCCGTCTGTTGTTATGTGTCAGGGTGGACCCACTGAGCCCTGCTGAGGGCTGTTTTGAAGGGTGCCTGTTCTTTCTGTTAGTGACCCTGAGATGTCACAGTGACCTGTCCCGCTGGGAACCAGTGAGGGCAGGGTTTGGTGTCTCTGCACCAAGGGAGCTGCTTCCCTGAGCACCAGCCCTACAGACGGATGTCCTTTGGGGCACAGACAGGCAGGAGTCCTGGCCGTCTGGTCACCTCCCCCCTTCCCCCCGTTTGACAGGAGCACCTGATCGAGAATGAAGTGTCCATCCTGCGCCAAGTGAAACACCCGAACATCATCATGCTGGTGGAGGAGATGGAAACGGCCACCGAGCTCTTCCTGGTGATGGAATTGGTCAAGGTAAGAGGGGGAGAGCTTTCAGGAGGTTTCCCTGGCGCCAGATCCCGAGACTTAACCGTATTCTTGAAGGACCTAATCAGAAACGTGTTTTGCTACCTTGAAGCTTTATTCGTAATCATCCATTTTCGTAGCATTTTAAAAAAACGACTCCAGGCCGCTGACCTTCTTTGTCACCTTCGTGGGATTGCCACTGTTGATGTTTTGATCTGTTCTTTCGTGTCCTTCAGGGTGGAGACCTCTTTGATGCAATTACCTCTTCAACCAAGTACACGGAGCGGGACGGCAGTGCCATGGTGTACAACCTGGCCAGCGCCCTCCGGTACCTGCACGGCCTCAGCATTGTGCACAGGGACATCAAGCCGGAAAACCTCCTGGTACGTCGCCGCCGCCGCTTCTGTCCCACCTCATGTTTCTCTTCCTTTAAAGTGACCACAATCACATGCAAACGGTGACATTTGAGAGTCTATGACCAGTCCTGCAACAAGGGGCTGGGAGAGTTTAAATTTCAAAAACCAGTCTGACGCAAGTCAGTCACCGCCAAATAGTGAATTTCTTCAACTGAACTGCATTTCTGCATGTATGGTTTACCAGACGTTAGAAAATGTGCTTTCACTTCCGTTTTGTTGACAGTACCGACGGAAGAAAGGTGAACAGGAAAATTCTTTTGAGGCAAAATAGTCTGAAGAATAAATGGGAAACAGAATGAGAGCGTGAGGGTTCGTTTATGGGCCGGACAGAACTTTGGACATCTAGTCCATTCATCTCAGCTTCACAAATACAGAAATTGAGACCCAGAGATGCTAATTTTTCTTGCTGAAAAGTCTCATTTGCCCCATTGTTCACAGAACTGTGTACTGTTGCACTCAAGGTGCTTCTTTAAAAAAAATTTATTGATTTCAGAGAGAGAGAGGGAGAGAGAGAGAAACATCAGTGATGAGAGCGAATCATTGAGTGGCTGCCTCCTGCACGCCCCCTACTGGCAATTGAGCCCACAACCTGGGCATGCACCCTAAGTGGGAATCGAACTGTGACCTCCTGGTTCATAGGTCCATGCTCAACCATTGAGCCACACTGGCTGGGCTCAAAGTGCTTCTTAATCTGGTCCCAATTTACCTTTCCAGCCTCCTTTCTGTTACCAGCCCTCCCCCACCCATCAAGCCACCTTTAACACACCTTCCTGATGGCTTTACTAACTGAGCAAAGCTTGCTGGTGGGGCCCATCCTTGTGTCTACATTGCAGAGGAATTTTAGAGAGGCTGACTGGGGAGTTGTGCATGCACACACACACATGCACGCACACAAACATACACAAGACTGTTGGTTTATCTAGTTCTACCTTTCAGGGCTGAGCTGTCATCATCATTACTGTTTGGGAGGTGAGGTTACCTGAGTGTTCTAGATCATGTTAATCTCAATGGCTTCCCCATCCCCTGTAGTTAGTTAAAACTGACTTTATCAATAGCATTACTAGTATACCTCACCTGCTTATGTCCATACTGGTCTCTGCACTGCCCTGTCTCCCAGCAGTGTGACAAACACACTGATCTTGTGAGATGGCGCCAAAGGCACGACTTCTTTGGCCTCAGCCCTGGGCAGAGTCCGTGGTGGCCACCTCTGGTTTCTGCTGCACTTGCCATGACACGTCGATTTTATCATCTACTCTGTCTGTCTCCTATTCTAGATCATAAGCACCAGTGGGGGCAAGGTTTGTGTCCCAGTTATCCTAGTGTCTCCGGGCCTTGAACAGTGGATGTGCAGGAAATGTTTGGAGATTGGCTGACGGTCACTCGGCTAGCTAGCTGCTGGCGCTGGGGCACGCATCTTTACAGCCCAAGTCGTGCTGGCACCACGCAAATAATCGCTGGAAGGAATGTGCATGGGTGGGCAGGCGTTGAGGCCCTGCTGGGGCTTCCTGCCCGTCCACAGTGTGTTTTCCCCGTAGGGTAACACCATTTGATGACTTCTGAACGTCCATTTGAAAGCGTGTGACTTTTTTTCTGACTGATTCCTGCCGGGAGGGAACTGCGTTTTATCTCTGTATGTTCCTATTAGGGAAACAAATATCCTTGCTCGGTAAAATCAGATGCAGTGTGATTCAGTTTTAGGAACTTGGAGGAGGAACGGAGGCCGCATTGTAACTGGGCCTCGGGATAGAGGCGAGGACATGGTGTGCTCTCCTCCAAACAGGCGTCTTGCCCACGGTGGCCTTGCGGTGTCTGGCAGGCCTAGGCTCCCCCCGCCATCTGGCTGGGTTTGCCTAAGGGCTTTGCCGGCAGAGGTGACAGGACTGTCCCCGAGTGTGGCCAGACACAGATGCTGTGGTGTTAGTGAGGACACCCCCTTGATCTCTCCCAGCCGTCCGTGCCCCTTCACCCCAGTGCTGCAGTTATCGACGCTGTTCCCTGTGGACAAAGGAGCCACAGGTCCCCACAAACCATTGGCTGCTGTGGAGCCAGCCCCAACCGCAGCTCTGGGCCCCGCAGGAGGCTGCCCGAGGCATTAGTGACCTTCCTGTGACCTGCGTGTCCATCTCCCAGCTCCCTGAGTCCACGCTCGCCTCTCCTTTCTTCTCTTTTCCGCTCACAATTTTTAATGCATGGACAGTCTCAGAACGTGAAAGCGTGTTATGCATCAGGGGAAGATGCTGTGACGGGGAGTGATGTCTCGCACAGCGTGCCCCAGAATGTCACCAGGACATTGGAATCAAGCTCCTCATCCGTGTAGCTGGGCCCGGCTGTGTGTCTGCCCTTCTCCACCTGCACCAGCCCCCTTGTGCTGCTCAGAAGGGAGGAGAAAGAAAAGGTGACAAAACCAATGCCTGGAAGAAGGGCCATGGGCCAGCCTCCGGACACCCCCGGCTGCGCATGTCTAAGTAACACACGTGCCTTCGAAATCCCAACCAGACCCCTCAGCAGAGTCTAGAATTCAGCCCACAGGTGGGCACCGGCCGAGGGGGAGACGTGCCAGTGGCGCTGAAAGTAAACACAGTGACTGCCAGCCTCTTCCTGCTCCAGGACCAAGTTCCGTTTTTGAAACACCAGAGCAGACATCTGATTTGCATCCCCTTCTCTGGCAGCGGTGCCGGTGCCGTAATTTAAACCCTGCCTTCGGGGGTGCGTGGCCGCCGTGTCAGGGAGCGCAGCGGTGGCCCTTGCCGGGTGAGTTACGGCCTGGCGGTGCCCTGTCAGAGTTAACTGTGCGGCCGTGATAAATCCCGCTCTCCAGGAGTTCCGGGGACGGGAGAGCAGAGGGCTGGTTTCTCACATTTGAAGTCCTTCTAAATCATCCCGTTGACATTTTATTTAGAGAACATGCGGCGTTCGCTGCGTATGTGGGATCTGCATTCCTCACATTTTTTATGTTTGCATTCCGAGAGCCGCTTTTCACAGGCGTCTCCGCCCTTGGCCGGGCACAGGAACGCCGCGGGGCCACGGCGCGCACAGCGGGGTCTGTCTGAATGCACCCCGAATCCCTGCGTGTGGTGGGGGGCTCTGCCAGGCCTGCGGCTCCTCAGAGCAGACTGCCCCCGGACGGCAGGGGTATTGGTTGGATAATGTGCACTGAGCTGTCCGCTGCTCACGAGAGTGCTCTGTGCCTCAGTTTCCTCATCTGTGGAATGGAGGCAGCGATTCTCTTCCTAATGGTCCCGCGGGTGGCGACGGCAGTCCAGGGAGAATATAGAAATCTCCCCGCGAGAATGCGGGTGCCCGGGGAGAACTGAGCTCTGCCAGACAGAACGCCTGGAGCCCGGCACGCACCTCCTTCTCCAGCTCACATGGGTCTTGCAGACCCCGGGAGGGGGTGTGCGAAGCAGCCTCTTAAAGCAGTGCTGTAGGTGTGCGTGCGTGTGCAGGTGTGCGTGCACATAGACTGATGATAGATAGATGTTTCCTGCTCTGAAGAGTCTCCAGCGGAGATTTGAAATGTACTCAAATTGTCTTCCACACACTTGCCTCTGTGTCTAGCCCTGGGGAGAGATGACTCAGATAAAATATTATTATTTCAGGCTCGTCTGCCCCTGATGACGCTTCCCTTTTGATGTTTGGCCAAGAAGCACCACTTGCTCAGACATAACTCGGCGGTTATGGACTGTTCAGCCCCTTTCTAGTTCTGCTCCCGCCTCTGACTGACTGGGAATTCCTTACAGGGGCTGTGAAAAACGGGGCTTCTGGGACTCCTGAGGGTCTGACAACAACCCTGGAGGACCCCTAGGCGTCCCTAAATTGAATGTCTAAAATAAACACTATTTTTCAAAAACGTAGGTAATGAGTGTATTTTAAAGTTATAAAAACAAAATAACAATGACATTAATGAAACTGGGTTTAAAAAAAAAAAAAAAAACTCTCATGATGCATTTAGAATTATAATGTTGCTTATAATGTTCTTATCACTGCCATTACTTCGGGAATTTCTTCCTGACGTCTGGGTTTTGGTAAATGCGTCATAAATTCTGGCTGTAATTTCCTCCACCCGCGTGTTCTCGCCCGTGTTTACATTAGGCATAATGGATGGACGGGCGGCCTAGGACGGCAGCAGGACTGAGCCTGGGTTCTGTTGCTTCAGGCTAAACCATTAGGAGCTTTGAATACGGTCCTGCTGAGTCGGGGTGACTCGGGATGATGAATGTCTGTGAGGGGCTCCAGGCCCCACGGCTACCCCTGTGAAACTTGAACGTCCTAAAGTTGTGTGCTGGGTGTGTGTGCAGGACATCAACGTGGAGGCAGTTATCAAAACCGGGAGAAAAACAGTCTTCTCAAACTCAGGAGGACATCCCATGGGAAGACGGCATTTCGGGGTCACCCTTGATGAAATGCCTGTAAAGATTAGGGGGTCATTAAGATGGGGGCGCCCGAGGCCCTTGATGTGTTTTATTGATGGCTGTATAAATCACTCGCCTCTTTAAGCATCGGACTAATGGATGATGTTGTTAACATGCTTATCTTGAAAAAACATAATTTTCTAAATGTTTCACTCCTCTCATAAGTAGTAATTTAGGTGAAAACCTGGTCAGCTTATAGTAAAATCTGAGGGAAAGCAAGCGATAAAGTATAAAAATAGAGGAAGATGTTACATAAGCCCAGATGAGGCCTTTGCAGATAGTCTCTGAAATTCAGGCTTTTCAAAATGGACATCCAAGAGACAAATAGAGAGCACGTTAAAGGTTATAGTCAGACCTGTATTCTCCCACACACACTGGATTGCTTCCAGATCCATCCATGTAAGGATGTAACCTCCAGACTGTGGTCCCATAAGGAAAACCTGCCTAAATATATAAATTTTTTTTCCTCATTATGGAACCAATGCGTGTTCATTGGAAACTACTGAAAAGTAAAAGGGAGGAAGTTCAAGTAATCCTCAGTGTTAACACCTAGAGACACACTAAGCATCTTGGTGTGTTATATTACATATACACACACACACACACACACACACATATATATATATATATATATATATGTGTGTGTGTGTGTGTGTGTGTATATATATATACACATAATGTTGAATATTCCTTTTTATGTTACGTAATATGGTGAGTGTGTCCATATGATTAATACTTACTGAAATGTGCTTATTAGTGACAGTATAATATTTTATTGCAGGGATGTACCATGACTTATGTTGCTTCCAGTTTTTTAAAAGATAGATAAAAGTCTGAGATTGATGCCCTGGTATATAACCTCAGGGTCCATCTCTGTTCCCTCAGGGTTGGTTCTGAGAAGTAGGTTTCCTGGATCAGAGGTTATAAATGATGGTAAGAAATGTACACGTTGCTGAAAGGCTGTCTAGAAAAGTTGCTTCAATTTAAGCAAAAACATTGACATCTCAGCAACATTGTTAGACCTTTTCCAATATCATGGTTTCTGCTCTAACCAGCCAGACCTTCCAGGCGAGGGAAGGATCGCTCACAGAGCCCTGATCCAAGCCTGCTCTCATTTTATCTTCACACCAATCCCATATCATCCTATTTCACAGATGAGGGGATGTGCTCAGAGAGGGTGAGTGACCCTCGAAGGTCACACAGCCAGAAAATGAGGGGGGTGCTTGGTTATTCACGTTCAAGCTGTCTGATTCCAACGTTCATTTTCTGTCTAAACTTCAAGATTCCCCCCACGTAATGTTTATATTCATCATTGACTCTGCAGAGAACAAGTCCTCATTTTATTTTCTACCTGAAACATGCAAGTCTCTTAGAGAACACCTGGTGCTTTCGTGGCACTTAATGAACATGTTTCCGAGACTCTCGAGCACCTCACTCTGGGAAGCACGTGGTGCAGGCCAGGGTTTCACTTCCAGGCTGAGAGGCCTCTCGTGCCATGTCAGGCGAGCATCCCTCGCTGCTGTGTGAGCATGCACACGTGCTCAGTATGCTCCTAGGGAAGGCACTTTTTTTGCAGAGGTAGGAAATGTCTTTTCCAAATTCCGCACAATCATGCAAAAATCTCTCCAGAGCAACATTCGGGCTTCAAAGCATCAAAGATAAATCATAGTGTTAACTATAACAAGCAGAGATTTCTTTTGAGTTTATTGGTCAACGTATCTGTGCCATTTCTACCTCATTCCACAGCCCCTCTTGGAATCATGGAGACCAAAAACAGCGTCTGACAATCGGCCGGTTTCTGTTCCAGGTGTGCGAGTATCCCGATGGAACCAAGTCTTTGAAACTGGGCGACTTCGGGCTGGCCACCGTGGTGGAAGGGCCCTTGTACACCGTCTGCGGCACACCAACCTACGTGGCTCCAGAAATCATTGCTGAAACCGGGTGAGACCCCTGGCGGTTTGGGTTGTGCCCTTCTTTGGTGGGGAAAGGTATGTTTTGGGCATCCTCCTGTGTTTCCACGTGACTCCCGAGAAGGTGGAGGGCGGGAGAGATGGCTAACCTGCACCATGACTCTGATCTTGGGAACTTAAGTGTGTGCTTCTACGTTCAAGAGCTCTGGGCCTGGGCCGGGACTTTTGTTCCCAGGCTGGTCATGGGAACATGGCAGTGTCCCCAAGGGTGTAATTAGGACTGGGAGAAGAGCAGGTGCCTTTGCCCAAAGGGCAGTGAATTCCTCTACGTGAAATGGACAGTTTGATACTGAAAAGGCCCCCCCCTTTTTTTTCACAAAGGCAAGTACTCGGGTAATGTGGAGGGTTCTGGGGGTAATATCATTATTTCTCCCCCTTCCACCCACTTTGTTTCCCTAGCTATGGCCTGAAGGTGGACATTTGGGCAGCAGGCGTGATCACGTACATACTTCTCTGCGGATTCCCGCCGTTCCGAAGGTCAGCACATCATTTGAATTGTACTAGTAAACCCTCTCCCTGGATCAGGAAGCAGATGTTACTCCTGGCAGTCAGGACCAGAGCTGGTCAGTGACAATGCCAGCTAAAACGTATAGAGACCTGCCTTTCACTCTTTATCTTATTCTACAACCTGTTCATGTATATCCCTCGACCACACCTCTGATGTGAGGCCAGGGCCTTTGCTGTGTATGAGTTTCTCATGGTCATTCTTCTGTAAACCACACCCACCATCCAGTGTCTGCAGTTTCCATTCTCAGTTATTTTCAAGGGGAGTGATATTTATAGATCCTGCGAAGCAATCTGATCCTTCTAGGAAAGCCTTTTTCCAGTTTTTAATAGTTGCCTCTCCTACTTAACTTGGGAACAGTTTTTTGACCATTTTTCAAAGCATTCAACCTAGTTCTTACCGAAAAGAGAACTTATAACATTCATTGTATCCACTCACATAATACTCAGTGGAGTAGAATTACAGACACTTTGTGCATAAATAGGCCTGGGAACAAAGGGATTGAGTCCTTGGTAACCATGCCCCTGGGAGCAGAGGGGGCACACGCGGGTCAGGGTGTGTCACGGAGGGCACGGCACACTTGTTACTCAGCCGTGAGTGTGCACAGGTTTGACATGGGGCTTCGCCCTCAGCACTTCTTTTGATCAGTTCCGTCTCCTTCTTTGGGGTGACTTTGAAGCAGAAGTTCACCTATTGAGGCACATTTGATTTTCTTCTGGGCTTTCTTGAGCACTCTTTTCATTTTAATCTCTTCTTTTGCTCACTTTGCAACTGTTTGTTGAGTAGCTGCTGTGTGCTACGAGCTATTCTAAATGTCGGGAATCAAATGGCGAACACAGCGTATCCTCTGAGGTCATGGTATTGACAGTGTGGTGTTAGGTGTGAAGGTGAAAAACAGGCTTGTTTCATCACCACACCCAACCATCGTATTCTGAAAGATTCCAAACATCCAGAAAAGTTGAACGTTTTATCTTTTTGAAATGATCGATGTTCAGCTGAGTTGACCGTTTTTACGGACACTACCGCGAACGCGGGAGTGACACAGAGGTGTCAGCCTCTCCTTTTGAGAGTCTCAGGGGTAAAGACACACATCGCAAGAATATGGATCAAGAAAAGTAAACAGGACATAGGGGTATGCTCAGCTGAGGGCTGGGAATCACAAACATTCAGTGAAAGGTGTAGAAGTGAGTGAGTGGGGCCTTGTCCTCGTGGCATGGGTTCGGTTTCTGCAGGTGGAAAGCCTTCTGCCTGGCCATCGGCATCGTGGTCTTCCATCAAGGACGTTGCCCAGGTGGGTTGCACAGACTGTAGGATTATTGCACACATCACTTAACATTTTCTTGAATAACAAATGACTCCTACAGTTTGGGCTGTCAGTTAGTTCTGTGCATCAGTTGGGCGGGTCTTCCGTCTGGTCTGGGTTGGCTCAGTGGGGGTTTGATGGTCCAGTGTGGCCTCACTCACGTGCCTGCCAGTTGACTCAGCGTCAGCTGGGACATCCGATATGACCTGGCCGTGTGCCTTTCAGCCTCCAGTGGGCTAGCCTGGGTTTCCCATGACAGTGGATTCAGGACTCCCCAAAGCAGCTAGAAGAGGGTCTGAATGCTTTTCAAGTCTCCGCTTGCTTCACATTTGCTGATTGATGTCCTGTTGACCAACTGAAGTCAAACAGCCAAGCCTCGAGTAAGTGTGGGAGAGGATTACCCGTACTTACAGGGAAGGGAATCATCTGTGGCCATTTTTTCAATCACGCGGTGCCCTGGCTGGTTTCAGCAATGACCTGTTTTGGGAACTAGTAAAGCGTAGAGGGTAGTGTGTTATGCTAGCTGTTGTTCTTGGGGCCAGTTACAGCGTAATTCCCCTCCGTGATGGTTGACCCAAGTGGAGACCAATCGGAAAAGGGTATCAGGGAGGGATCAGTGTTAGAGGAAGGTGTGCTCACAACTCCCTCTAGTGTTTCCACTTGTCAGTGCAGCTGGGAGTTTTTTCCTTTGACTGCTTTTTTACTTTTTAACAAAAGTGAGGCTCACATTAAACAAGTATGTGCTTATTGTGACTTGATACCCAGTGGACAGTAGCTTCTTTGTAGGATCTGGAGTTAAGGCTGGCTAATCAAAGGCAGTAAAGCTACTGCCCTTAAACATTCTACTCAGAAGCTGGTCCCACAACCCAGGCAGCTTACTTAGGAAATTTACAAAAATGCTTCCCGTCTTTCCTATGCTGTGATGAAAGGGAATCTGTAATGTTAAGTGCTTGTTACGGAAGCATCTTCACGGCACAGAGACCTTCTGGAGAGATCCCAGGACCGACTTTATTCAAACTGCATAGGGAGCACAGTATGGAAATGGTCCTGTTAATCGTGATAAAGGGCTCTGGTATGAAACAGATTGCATAAATTTGTACCTAAAATGAAAGTCCTTCAAACAGATATTTCAAAACACTGTCTTTGTTTTATACCCAAAGTAATTTTAACCCAAAGCCTTTTAATTGAAATTGTTACGTGGGGTTTACAGTTTCCGCTTCTTTAGCTCTGGTGTGTCTCACTTTTCTTTTTCCAGGCTTTGGTCTTAGGCTGACATGAATTCTTCCTTCCATCTTCTCAACCCCAGGATATTGGTTTTCTAGAGGCAACCGACAGTTTAGTTATTGCCTAAGCAAGTCTGTTTTAGGGCCACTGACAAAAAGGAGTATTTGCATGACTAGACTGAGATTTTTTTGTTTTGTGTGTTTCTCTTAAAAACAGGCACAGCCCATAAATGAAATGTTTGGGCATCACGTGTAGAATAGCTCACCCACGTTCTCAGGTTACCTAGCCTGACCTTGACGTTGCCTTGACTCATCACTGAAGAGAGAGAATGGACGCAAATTCTTTTGTTGTTTTTGAGGTTTTTCTTAAAGCACATTTTTAGGTGTAGAGCACCTTGATTCCAGGCTCTTGTTTTAGGATAAGTGCCCCAAGCATCTTAGCCAGATTGTGGCGTATACATGTGGTAATAGATCCAGTGTAGATTCGGAGTGGCTTTTCTTCTGTGACTACTAAGAAGGATAAATGATCTTTCGCTTTCTGTTCTTTTAGTGAGGGAAGCCTGAACCGCTTGCGGTTCACAGCATGGATGCTTGGGGTGAATCCTAATTGCCAGGACATTCCATGGTTCTGTTTGTTGACTCAGGCTATGTTTGCCAAGAACCGGAATGAATGCTGCAGACTCACTTCCAACTTTTTAGCTGTTTATTAACAAAATAAAAGCCATATGTATTAACAGAATATAAGTCACTTGAGATTCCAGGAAAAAAAGAAAAAGGGAGATGACTGGAGTCATAGGGATGGAGGGGTCGATTCTGGAAAGAGGTGATTTATTTTATAGCTTCTACTACTGTCTCTTGGCGTCCCCTGGTTTTCTAAAGGTTTTCATAGAACCTCATTATGTTTTAGGTGCATCCTTCACGTATTTTGAAGGCCAGTTGAGCCTAGTGCAGTCAGAAACACTTTGAAAAAAAAAAAAAAAGTTTAGACATCTAGAAAGAAACACTTTGAAAAAAAAAAAAGAAAGAAAGAAAGAAAGAAACACTTTGCCCTGGCCAGTGTGGCTCAATTGATTGGGCATCATCTCGTGTACTGAAAGGTTGCTGGTTCGATCCCTGATAAGGGCTCATTCACTGGGTTTCAGGCTCAATCCCTAGTGGGGGGCTTGTAGGAGGCAGTGATTTATATCTCCCTCTCATATAGATGTTTCTCTCTCTCCCTCTCCCTCTCCCTCTCTCTACCTTTCTCTCTAAAACTCAAAAAAAAAAAAAATCCAGAAAAAAACAATGCATGCCCTAGCCGGTTTAGCTCAGTGGATAGAGCATCGGCCTGCAGACTGAAGGGTCCTGGGTTCAATTCTGATCAAGGGCACATGCCCAAGTTGCAGGCTCCATCCCCAGTAGGAGGCGTGCAGGAAGCAGCCAATCAGTGATTCTTTCTCATCGATGTTTCTATCTCTCTCTCTCCCTTCCTCTCTGAAATCAATAAAAAATATATTTAAATAAAAACACAAACAACAAAACAAAACAACACGCAAATAGAAACAGATTGTCCACACTCAAAGAAAACCACTTTTCAGGAGAGCGGTGGGGATCTCTTGCCTTGCCCGGTTTTCAGGCTGACGTTAGCTTCTCAGTGTGTCTATTGACCCAGACTCCGTGGCCAGCAGCTGTGCATTGAACTGGGCTTGGGTAGATGTCATGGATATTTGCACAGCTCAAAGACACTACTCTTTTTCATAGAACAAGAATGAAATAGCCACATCATCTCACTGCCCCGGAGTCTGACTCTGAGTACTGTCCTAAACTGCCTGTTTCTAAGGACGCCACACTGTCCCTGCCCGCTCTGGCAGGGCTGGCGGCCGGGCCTGTGAGCACCCTGAGCACCAGGCTGCGGGGTCGTGTTGGGAATCTAAGAAATGCTGGACACCTGCCAGGTGGACTGGACTCCACTTCCGGGTTGTGATCTTGACTCCGACAGTCCATGCTGAGTTTTCTACTGGGGCCTGGTAATGACCCTGAAAGGCAAGAACGTTGTTCTCACTCTGGCCATGGATATGCCCATTAGACGAGGGGCTCTGTGGCTGTGCAGAAGCAGGTTCGGGGGGGGGGGGGCATCCGCTTACTGCATTTTCCCCGGCACTTTCTGTCACAAGTCATCACGTATTCGTTAGGCACCAGCCAGTGCACCGTTAAGGTGGTGACCGTGAGGCACAGGTGGGGACGCTGCCCACCGGGCGGCGAGGAGAGCTCGTTCCAACCTGTGCAGTTCCCGTTGACGTCCTCCAGGGGCTCTTCCTTCCGGACTGAGCTTACCTGAACGTCAGGCTCCCATGGGGAGCCAATTATGTCCTGACTCTTCAACCCCGACTCTGACCTCTGGATGACTCTTTCACGTGTTGGCCGCTTCACTCATCTTTGGCTTTTGGGTTGGAAAAGGGGAGAGGAAGGGCAAGGAGATCTGGCTCAGCATCACTGCTTTTCCACTCTGACGGCCATGAGCCATGAAGTGAGGCAGACGCTGAGGTGCCTCTTGTTCCTGGAATGAGGATTTATATGATTCGTGGGTCCCATGTTTTTCTGTTTTTGTGTTGTTTTTTGTTAAACTATATCTTTATTGATTTCAGAGAGGAAGGGAGAGGCGGAGAGAGATAGAAACATCAGTGATGAGAGAGAATCATTGATTGGCTGCCTCCTGCATATCCTCTACTGGGGATGGAGCCCGCAACCTGGGCATGTGCCCTTGACTGGAATCGAACCTGGGACCCTTCAGTCTGCAGGCTGACTCTCTATCCACTGAGCCAACCAGCTAGGGCTTTCTTGTCTTTTTTATTGTGGCAAAATATACATAACAAAGTGGATCATTTTAACTGTTTTAAGTATATAGGTCCGTGGCATGAAGCACATTTCCAAAGTTTTGTGCAACCACCACCATCCATCCATCTCCAAGCCTCCTTCATCTCCCCAAGCTGAGCTGTGCCCACTCCGCACCTTTCTTGAGTCTTTGTGGGTCTCTCTCTCCCTCTTTTCTCCTTCCCACCTCTTCTCTCTCTCTCTCTCTCTCTCTCTCTCTCTCTCTCTCTCTCTCTCTCTCTCATTCCCAGGCCTTTGGACGTGTTCTCAAGCTCACTGTTCACGTCTGAAGGGAAAAGTGTGTCATCACACATGCAGTGGAGATGGGACATGCCCAAGCCCGAGACCGGACTCCTCTCCCCACCCTTCCCGTGAGTGTTTTGTTGGAAACTCTGTGGTGACCTTGGCTCTGCTTCCGTTTCTTTTTTGCCAACAGCGAGAACAATCTTCAGGAAGACCTCTTCGACCAGATCCTGGCCGGGAAGCTCGAGTTCCCAGCCCCCTACTGGGATAACATCACGGACTCCGCAAAGGTATGCTCCAGGCCTGTCTGTGGGCTCGTCATGTCCAAGGGTCCTCAGCCCATGTGGGGCTTGTAGGAGGCAGACGATTTATATCTCTCTCTCTCTCTCTCTCTCTCTCTCTCTCTCCCCCCCCCTCTCCCTCTCCCTCTCCCTCTCTCTCTTCCTTCTCTCTTCATTCTCATCATTGATGTTTCTATCTCTCCCTTCCTCTCTGAAATTAATAAAAAATATATTTAAAAAACTAGCTCCAAGTCTGTTCTTGACTTTGAACCACGCTTCTTCTCAAGTTCATTCCATAGTATCGTCTCGGACACGGTTAACCAGGTTCTGGAAGCTGGCCTGGCTCTCCTCCCAGCGGGCGCCCGCCATCCTCCTTTGCTCCTTTATGCCCTAAACATTTGTTCATTTATTCAAAAAATCCGCACTACGCACCATCAGAACACGGGGGTGGACTCGTGAGGCAGACTGAATTGCCGGAAGGAACGGCAGCGCGGCGTCACGTTGTGGGAGGGTGGCAAGGACCCGAGCTCTTCGGGGAGAACGTCTGGGGGTAAGGCGGGCCCAGGAGAGCCTTTCCGCTCACGCTGCCCGCTCGGGGCAGCCGTGCCTGCGGACCCGCCTGGCGGGCGCTGGGAGTGGAGGCGATAATAGCTTTTCAGCTCAAATGTCTGAGCAGTGTGCTGGCTGTTCCCTGAGGTACTTGGTGCAAACTCCGATTTCTGTATTTACGCTGGAATTGTCGCCCTTTGGTCACCTCTGTTGTCTTCATTTCTTTCCAGGAATTAATCAGCCAGATGCTTCAGGTCAACGTGGAAGCGCGGTGTACTGCGGGACAAATCCTGAGCCACCCCTGGGTGTCGGTAGGTACCCACATTCCCGGGAGGGAGTGACCTCACCTGTGCGTCCCGTGGCCGACGGCGTGCTTCCTCGCCACGGCTCTTGCACAGGCGAAGCTCTGCACCCACTTCCGCGGCAGGTAGATGCCTGTTCTCTCCTTGGAGGGCTTCTCTGGAGCAGTTGGCACCGGGATCCTCGAGTGTTCGATCCTGCTCTGTGCGTGGCCCGGGAAGCCACTGTCGCTTTCTCTGCCTCAGCTCCCGGCGCTGCAGAAGGAAGGGGTTGGCTGGGCTGTCCTCTAAGGAGCCTTTCGGCTTTGCCTTCTGTGGCTCTTAGGGCTGAGGGTTTTCAGGATTTGGCCAGAGATGAGCATGTTTCAGACCCTGATCCCTCTGTCTCCATGGCCATGGCCACAGGAGCCCCGACGTGTGTGGGGAGTGAGGCACCGTCCTTCCCAGAGCCGGGCTGGCGAGGGGTGTGTCCTGTTGACTAGAGTTCTTGGGACTTAGGCGGTGCCTGTGGGTTTAGGGCAAACACGGTCCTGTGAACAGTGACCCTGGGAAGTCAGCGCCCCCTCGCTCAGGAGGCTCCCAGAGCGTGAGGGTAATTAACTCCGTTAGGACCTCAGGAGCCGGGTGAGTGGTGTAGGTCTCTCTGAGGGCCCAGAGCTGCAGAGTAACAGGGTCATTGTTCATAGGCCGTGGTTCCCCTGACCTCGTGGCTAAGATGGCCCATTCGGAAGAGATGGTGGTGGTGGTGGGTGGTGTGTGCCTGCCTGTTAAGGAATAGACAGGGGAGCCCTGAAAACCCAAACCACTGTATTCCATTCCTTTCTGTAGGATGACGCCTCCCAGGAGAATAATATGCAGGCTGAAGTGACAGGTAAACTAAAACAGCACTTTAATAACGCGCTCCCCAAACAGAACAGCACCACCACCGGGGTCTCCGTGATCATGGTAAGTGGCCCGGCTCTGCCTGGGGAGTGCCGTGTCTGGCCTGACTCTCCGCCAACCCTGACGCTTGGGAAGTAAATTGCTAAAGAGCTTCCCGCACATGGAAGCTGGTGCCTTCCATGTCCTCTTCTCCCTGCGAGATGGGCTTGGCACGGGAGGTGCACAGGGTGGGGAATTGCGCAGACACCAGCGAGGCCAGGCCACAGGTCTAGGCCCAGGCGCTCCTGCCTGTCTGGGCCCAGTGCCCTCGGGGTGGTGGCTGCTGCTTTCCCCTCTGCGGGGTTTATAGCACCAGGAAGGAACCCCCTGCCTGCCCGAGGCTTCCAAAACAGTTGACTGGAGGTGCGAATTATTCTTCGAGGTTTAGGATAAGAAACAGCCCAAGTTAAACAAATGCCATTTTTAAAAATCGGTCTTTTGTGGCTTTTAAAAGTACGGAACACTGTAGAGAAATTGGTTTTTTCAGGGTAGAATGTTAGGAGAAGTCTGGAACAACGATCGCCAGATCGCCATATTTTTTCAGGCCTTCCTTCTTCCAGAGTGTTTTCCAGGCAGTTTACCGAAATCCATAAACACAACCAGTTTACGTAAGTTCAGCGAAAGGGAAATAAGGGCAGAACAGACAAAGCAGCCGGAATTGCACTCTGCACCCCCAGCCACGCTGTCAGACCCCAGCCCTTGGCAAAGGGGGACCACGCAGCCAGCTCTGAGCAGCCCCGCACCCGCTCATGGAGCCGGGGTGCGAAACAGCCAGCGTCTGGGCCTGGGCGCTCCATCTGCCCACACCCCTCACAGGCTCGGGGAGCAAGGAGGGGTGGCCCCTCCCCCACCCCCCAGAGCCAGAGACTCAGCTGGGGTGTCCTCACCACCAGACTTTCTAGGAAACGGGTGCCCGGTTGTTAACATCTAGGCCACTCCTGACAGCCTTGGGTCTCACAGCACCTACAGCCACCTGGTGGCCTGGTGGCTCCTGCTGGCCGCCTCCCAGCTCCATCCTCCTCAGGGCAGGGCAGGCCCCGCCCCTTCTGGGAAGGTTTGCTTGCTTCCTGACCAATTGGAAGGAAACCAGTTGCTCATTCTCCTGGGGCACTGTAGTCGAGGAACCTAAGGACATCCCCATAGGAGTTGGGTGGGAGCACACGCCTCCCCTCCCCGGTGAAGATGAAATACAGCTGCTGAGTATCCACCACCTTCTTGGCCTCGCTGGTCTGTCCCTCCTCCGTCCCCGGGGAGGCTGTGTGCACTTGGCAGCCCTCTGTCCCTGCACCTCCCTCAGCTCTCCCTGCTGGAAAGCTTGCTCCCCCCCCCCACCCCTCCCCCAGACAAAGCCTGCAAACAGGATCTTTTGACACGTTTCAGGACTTTGGAGCGTTCTGTGCCAAAATCTGGGAAGGCCTCTTGAGTTGTGGTTTTCCTGGCATTTCAGCCGTGCTCGCAGAAAGCCTGAGAAAGGCGGCGTTGTCACAGAATGACAGCTTACACACTTTGAAAAGAACCATCTTTCCCCCCCAAATTTAATAGAAAGTTTATTTAGAAAGTCACAGGGGTAGTAGCCGTGAGCCATAGAGGAACAGCATAAGAAGGGCCCTTGGGGTTTAAGGGAAATAGAGACAAAGAAAATGGGCTGGGGGGAGGGGGAGGTGCGAAGGTGAGATAGAAGAGAAGGGGGGGAAGAGGGAGATATGGGTGTGTGGTGGGGGGGGGGGGAGAGGGAGAGAGTGAGAGAGAGAGAGAGAAGAGAGAGAGAGAGAGAACGCCAAAAGAACCTCCTTGACTGAGCCAACAGCAGGAGCACATTTTCAGTGATTCCCTGATGGTGGACGAGATAAGGAGTGTGCAGCCTGCCACATGCCCCAAAGTTAGGCAACTTCTGGGAAAATTTAGAAAAACTATAAATTGGCGTACTTGACGCGTAATGAAGAGCCTTAAGAAGAGTGATTAGTTAGAATCAAGATCTAGTGACTGTACATTCATACAGTTGCCTGGTCCCCTGGAGAAAGGGCCTTTGCAGAGCTGGGCCCAGGGCCTGGGAGAACCGACTCAGGGCCCACATGGGCATTGCTGGCCGGAGGCCTGTGGCCTGCTGAGGCTCCAGCACGCCCGCCCTCCTGCCTCAGGCTCCAGCACAGGCTTGGTTCTGGATGATGCCGTTGAGAAACCCTCGGACAGAACCCATTTCTCCATGTGTTGATGGAGTTCCCCAGTCAAATTTTAAACTTCTGAGCTTTAACTGGGTGTTTCTATGAATGAACAACCTGCTATTACCTGTAACTCCATTGGTGACTGTAAACGTGTGCTCACACATGTATCCCGTTGTCACTCGGAGCATGTTGGCAGGGCTCTGTCTAACCCCGGGTTCCCTACACAACTCTGCGGGCTGTTAGCTCTGAGGAGCTGCTGAGTGACACTGTCCCATTCAGCACCTACAGGGGAAATCAGTAGAGCTTGTCTCTGGAGGTACCAATTCCCGACGGCCAGAGAGCCGGCCTGTGAAGTTTGGCTTGTCCCCAAAAGCTGGGGTGACGTCATGCTCCTCCTCACCCACCTGAGGACCTGACCGGGGGCACGGTTGTGTGGGGGCAGCTTGCAAGGCTTCCGTGTCGTTATCCTGTGTGTCTGTGTGTCCTGCCCTTGGGAACAGTTTTCAATGTTTCTCATATTAAAAAGAATCACAAATTAATCTCCCTGGTATTTATATGTTCTCCATAACTGGAGTATGTGAGGCTGATATGGTTCCTGCTGATGCAGACAGTAGTGGGAACAGTGCGTACATGTTGGAGGTGGGGCCCCCAGCTAACTGTTGTGTAACCTACAGAGAGCCTTACTACCCACTGTCACCCCCCCCAAAAAAAAACCCCCAAAAACAGAACGTTGGTGCCTGAGGCTCCTGGGAGAAATGAAAGGGTAGGAATGGTAAATAACAGTGAGAGAAAGTACAGTTGATGCTGTTGTCTGCGTTTCATTTGACAGTTTGATTTGACAGTTTGAGACACACTTCTGAGTTCCACTTTACCCAGCTGAGACTGTGGGGACTCCCGAAGCAGAAATCTGGTATTCACCACGCTGTGCTTCACAGAGCAGCTCTCGCGCTCGGCCCCCTAAATCTGCATGCTTTTCTCAGACTTCTGACGCCAGCGGCCAGCTCTCAGCTGCTTCTCGGTGCGGGTCTCCTGTACCTGCTGCCACCCTCTTGGCCAGCCGAGCACCCCCTAGGGAAGCTTCCCCAGCCTGCCACACTGCCTTCCTTCGCAGACAACAGCTGGCGAGTGCATAGGAGGGCTCTAGGAGTCCTCTTGATAAATGTTTTTTGTGTTTTTTCCCCCCACTTCTGTGAAAAAGCATTTTTTTTTGTGAGTGACAGCATAAGATGGGTACCTTTGTGAAGGTCTTTGTTCTCTTTCTCCAACTACTTTCCCAGAGAAGGCATTTTTATCAGCAAGACAGTGTAGCGTCAGCTAGCCTTTGGGATAAGAGAAGAGAATTCTATTGGGTAGGTTTTGGTTTAAGACAGGCCTGCTGGTTTGGATTGCACTTGCATTTCTCCGGCTGGTCCTTAGCCAGAGGAAAGGACAGTGCATTTGCCCAGGGGGCTATTTGTCTGTCCCATTGGGCTCCTCCCAGCCTGGGGGATCAGAGGACGCCACCTTGTGGCCGAAAAGGGAACGACAAGAAACCTGGTTCCCATGGAATTTGACTCTGAGGAGCCATGAATGCGAACAGAGTGCTTTCGGCTCAGGGGGATTATGCTTCCTTCCCGGGTACTCTGGGAATGATTTGGGCTTAATTTAAGACAGACAAAACTGTTTCAATCGTGTTGCTTCTGTTTAAAGTAAGTCTAGTTTCTGTCCCTGCTTCTCTCCCCCTCTCCTGCCTCCCCGCCGCCTGCCTTTGCTCCCTCTGACTAGGTCCAAGGCCATGGTATGTACTAACTGCCTGCGATGCTCTGTCCCACTGCACACGTTCTCCACAGGAAGAGAAGAGGAGAAATAACGGGATGGCTGGTGGTTTCTTCTACCGGCAGAAATTCTGGGGTAGAAAAAACCGAAGGCTGCCTCTCGCGTGGTCCGTGTTCTTGCAAAGGGCGGCTGGGGGCCGGAAGCTTGTGGAAGGGCGACACTAAGTATCTGGTTTGGCTTTTCCACAGTTTCCTCTGCTCAGTCACTGACATTGTCCTTGGAATTACTGATGCTCCGCCTGAGCTCGGAAGGGCCCATGGACCGCTGGCACCGAGGGCCGGAAGGCAGCCAGGGGCCCTCTCTCTTAGCAAGCCCCTTGATGATTCGGATTTCTCCAGGCCTCTTTATAATTTCAGTCAGAGTGCTGAAGGAATCGGGGGTACATTCCCCCTCCCCCCGAGGTAGTTAGGTTGCAAAATGCCTTCTGATGGCCCTGCCTTTTAGCTAGGTGCCTGAGAGCTGCCTGGATCTCGCTGGACAAACAAGAAATCCTCAAAATGAGTCAGAGGAGGGAAAGTCTCCCCGCCCAGGGCAGGGCCAGAAAGCAAGGCGATTTCTTACCATTTGTGGCTGTCTCTTGAGCAGATTAGGAACGTCGGGGTGCGAGGAGGTAAAGCAGAGCAGGTGAGGGATGTGGAGGATCTGAAACGGGTGCTATGGCGGCATCGGTCCCCAGGCCTTCCGTGGCGTAAGCAGCCACGCGAGGTATAAGGGGATTACTTATTTGTATTTCCACCTGTGATGGAGAGCTTTCTGGAGAAAGGCTCACGGTCAAAGCCCTAACCTTCTCCTAGGGTCTGCTTATGGGACCAGATTCCTTTGGGCTCCAGGTCTGGGCCCGGGGAAGAAACACTGAGAACTCAGGTGCAGCTCGGAGCTAGAAGAGTCCCCGCAGCCGACAGGCAGGGCGCAGGGGCACCCAGTGAGCCGCAGAGGCAGGGAGAGGCAGGGGAGGGGCCCGAGCCAGCTTGGTGCGCAAGCTTCTGCTAGGAGAGGCCTGCGGTTATTTCTCCTCCTCTGTCCCTGAGCCCTGCATGCTCGTCGTGCGCTGTCGTGGTCGCCGCGCCCTGGCCTGCAGGCTAACGCGCTGTCCCGCTGGTCTCTCCGCAGAACACGGCTCTAGATAAGGAGGGCCAGATCTTCTGCAGCAAACACGGTCAGGACGGCGGCCGGTCCAGCACGGAGCTCGCCTCTCCAGTTCCTCCCTCCGCCCAGGAGCCCCCTGGCGCCCCGGAATCTCCCCCGCGCCCCTGCTCCCCCACCCCGGGCTGGGAGCGCGCAGGGACCTGGCGCCGCCACCGGGACTGACCCCTGCACCTTCCTCTGCGGGCCGCTGCCCGGGCTCCCACCGCGGCTGCCTGGCTCCCACCTGCTCTGCCCTCGGTGCCTGGGGCGGCAGAGGCAGCGTCGGCGGTGGCGACCTGTTCGGAGCGGCTTGTTTTAAATGATCTGCATTTCAGTTCAATGGACGTTTTACAGCGTCACCAGAATGTGCAACTTTTTTCCAGCATTTAATGCATTTTTATAGAAACACTTTAGATGAGCCAAGACCTCTCCCTTATTTAAGGAGCTCAGAGTAACTCCGAGCGCCCCTTTCTTACCGAGAACTTGGGGCGCGTTTGTCCCGGGTGGGGTCCTGGGAGGTGCCGGAGCCTTCCCTGCTGCCGGCGGAGGACTGGCTTTCCGCGGAGACTCAGCGGGAGGACAGGGCCATGGGACAGGCCCCGCGCAGCGCGGGGCTGGGCTCGCGGAAGACAACACTGGGTATTTATTTGTACACAGACCCCGGGGAGGTGCCTTTCTTCCCTGGACATTGTGTGTTTCCCCACCACTCTTCCCTCGTATGACTTGAAAACACTAATAAAGTTGGCCTCGGGCTTTAGAATGAAAGGCCTGGCGCACGCGGCATCACGGCCTCCGCACCAGGAGCGGGACAAACCGGGCGTCCTGAGCGGCCCGGCCTCCTCCTGTCACCTGCGACCCCTCCGGAGCCCGGACAGCTGCCGGCCCAGGGCACAGGCAGGACCGGGCGGAGGTGCCCGCAGACCCCTCTGTTACTAACCTCCTGGAAGGCTGCTGGCAGTTTTTCCTCGTTTTCCACCACCTGCTCTTTTTAATAATTGTACATAAGCCGTGTATTTGTTTTACCTGCTTCTCTTCTAACCTGGTGGGCCCTGTAGTTCCTTCGCATTGTTAGACTTTCGCCTCCTTCCTGCAATAAACTCTTCCTTACTGAGAAAAACTTGGGGTGGGCAGAGGTTTCTGTGTCGTCATTTCTCAAAGGACGTGTGGTCAGAGGCCTGGGTTTCAGCAGGTGCCAGTGTCTGCTTTCATGAAGCCTCAGGGCCATGCGGGGGGTGGAGGGATGGTGCTCGGGGAGGCAGGTGTGTTTTGGTCGGAGCTGATTTCTTACAGGTGCAGAAGCTCATGCAGCCGAAGCTCAAGGCTAGCCGGGGGTCACTGGCATGACCACTGCGGAGCCTACGGAGCCGGCAGGAAGGTGAGGCTTCATGGAAATGGGGGGCCAGGACAGGTGTGTCCTCTCTCTCTCTCACTCTCTCTCTCTCACTTTCACTCACTCACTCTCAGATTGTGCGGTCTCCTGTCTCTGCTTCTGGTGCATTTCGGCTCTTGCTTTTCCCTCTGTAATGTCTGCTCGCCTGTAGCTCAGGTCACGTCCCTGCACCTGCCCCCAGTGCTCAAGGCTGTACAACTCAGGCCTCGAAGCCATCTAGGTCGGCTCCGGATCTCATTCCGATTGCTGAAGGATGAGATGATCGTGCACTGACTCATTCCGGGCTGGCGCTGCCCCTGGATGGAGAGGCTGGTTGCGAAGCACAGACGGGCTTCCTGGCCCGCAGCGGCAGCAGGTACCGGCTTCCATTAAAGCAGGAGGAGGGTGGTTTCCAAAAAGCTGATGGATGGCTCTAGAATATACTGCTCATCTCTCTCCACAGTGTCCATTAAAATACGTTTGTTAATGGAGGGGAAAATGTAACATAAAGGGAGGAGCAGGAAATGAAAACAGTGATGGGATGAGGCCGGCCCTTCAGCTGTGACGTCCAAAGACATTTGCAGAAGACTTAAGTGGCCAGGGCACTGCCAGTCACTGGTGGCAGGAGGAAGGAGCACCATCTTTCTGGCACATGCTCCCGCCCTCTGTGCCACACTCAAGAGGCCAGGAACGTGATGGGGGCCAGGAACGTGATGGGGGCGGGGAAGGCCCAGGGAAAGGAAGGAGCATGAGCCAGGTGTGGCAGGGGCGGAGCGTGGCCTGGCAGGTCTTGTGGAATCATCTTTATCCCACCAACACCTAGAGCAGAGTGTGGTGTGGACAGAGCAGCCCAAGAACCTAGGTGATAGAACCCAGGTCATAGGATGGGCGGGAGGCAGCCACGAAGCTGTGTTAAGTCCTGCCGATGCCACGGCCTGTCCCGTTCGGAGGTCCCTGTCATCCAGATGCAAATCAAAGCCTGGGTGAGAGCGGCCATCTGAATGACGGTCCTCAATAATGGCTCTGCCACCACAGGCACACTGGCCGCTCGCCCATGCATTTAGGAAACAGAATGCAAATTGAGTGCTGGGCTCCTCCACGCCTGCACAGTGAGCTGGCACATGCCTGTTTTACGTTCATTCCTTTACCTGAGCAGGTGATCAGCGCCTAAGGAAATTGACCCTTGACCAGGGGTAGGAAAAGGGAAGCGCTGACCTGCCAAACCACCAGCCAGGCTCAGCAGCCCGGCCAAGAGTCAGGGAGTGTGTGTCTCCTTCCTAACGGTTGTGGAGATCTGGAAATACGTGGATTAAAAGCATTTGGCAAAACTTGCCCAGAATATTTTCACGGGTAAGACTGCGGTATGTGAGTTAGGAGATCACAGAGACAGTTCAGAGCAGATGAACCATCTCGGAAGACAGACTGCTGACCGACCATGTTGTCTCAGAGAAAGATTTCTGGAGCAGCTGCCGTCCCATAGAAATATAACGGAAGCCACATCATTTATCCTTTTCTGGTACCCGATTAAAAAACAAGAGTAAAGAGGAACAGGTGAAATGAATGGCAGAGTGTATTTTTTTTTATGCAGTACATCTAAATATGTCCAAAGTGTGATTCCAACATGTAATCAATGCGAGAAACCACTGGGATAGGTTACGTTTTTTGGTACTAAGTCTTTGAAGTCGGTGTGTATTGACAGTGACGGCACATCTCTGTGGCTTAGGCACCTTCCAGTCCTGGGAGCCACCTGTGGCCACGCCTGCTGCACCGGACCGTGCAGAGGCCGCAGCCCTTGTCTCTGTTCTTACTCGCTTTTTGTCATCTGATGTGAATGGTGATGCAGAAGGAATGCTTCCCCATCGCTTTAACGGGTGAACTGATGGTCAGTGACCTCAGCAGCTGGGAGCACTGGTGCAGACCTGGGTGTGAGACCCAAGTGTGAGTCCTGTGTGCGATTACAGAACCGCCCGACGCCTCCGAGGGCACCTCCGCTGGGAACGTCCTGGGCGTGGAGAACTGCAGGATCGCTGTTGCACTAGGTGCCGACAGAGCTGCTTAACGGTCAGCATCATCGTAAACCGCGCCGTGAGAAGTATGAGCAGATGTGGGCAGTATTGGCCCAGTCCCCCTCGGTGTGGAGTTCTGCTCGGGGCCCTCGAGGTGTGCAGTGCAGGTTGAGGGCGGCCCGCGTGGTGAGGGCTGGAGGCCTGGCAGCCGAGGACGGGTGTCAGTTAGGAAAACCGGGGCACACCTGTCTTTGGCCATGAGACCTGTTCTGTAGCAGGGGTGCAGACTTCTCTCGGTTGCTCGGGGTAGTGGCCCGAGGTTGGGAGGCAGGAGCATGAGGGGCCAGGGGTGAGTGCACAGTCGGAGGATGAGTCTAATCCCAGGGCAGCCCAGGGACAGACTTAGCTACATTGTAAAGGAGTGATCCTCTAGTTCTTGGAAATGCCTAGATGCTAAATAATCACCACCACGGAAGCTTTCCGTCCTCAGAGCATCTCATCCTGTCTCTGAGCCACACTGCAGCCCCGAGAGAGATGCTCACATCCCCGTTCACTAAATGCAGCAACGCCCAGGACGGGCTCTCGGCTCCCAGGGCAGCTCATCTCACAGCTGGGCTGTCCCTCCTCAGTGGTTCTCAACCTTCTGGCCCTTTAAATACAGTTCCTCATGTTGTGACCCAACCATAAAATTATTTTCGTTGCTACTTCATAACTGTAATGTTGCTACTGTTATGAATCGTAATGTAAATATCTGATATGCAGGATGGTCTTAGGCGACCCCTGTGAAAGGGTCCTTCGACCGCCAAAGGGGTCGCTACCCACAGGTTGAGAACCGCTGTCTTAGAGGGAGGCCGATGTGTGCCCCTTTGGAGGATCTTGCCCAGGGCATTTGAAAGGGCTGCCTGGTGATAAAACCTGCAGCCTTGAACTCAGGTAGTAACTGTGGGGAGGAATTACCACCATTGAATGGTGAGGGGAAGAAAGGGTTTATTTGGCACAGTAATAAGCACTCTTAACCAACATGCCCTCCCCAACATAAGCCCTTTCATTATTGGCGGAGCTGGGCACCAGAGGCCTGCGGTGGGGTTGGGCGAGCTGTGAGGACGGGGCACCTGTCTGTGCTGAGCCTGGAGTCAGGCCTGGAGAATGTCTTCCCACTGATCCAAGCCCAAAGCTGCAAAGCAGCCAGCTGCTTCCTGCCAGGTCTGGGGAAATCACAAGCCTTCCCAGCTGCCCCCAACTCTTGGGTTTGGCAAAGAAAAATATTCCTGAACCCGAGAGAGAAAAATAATTCATGTTTCTGGCATATGACTGCGGAGGTCTCAGAATTCACAGGCACACTTGTAATGGCCGCCTTCCCGCGCCGAGCGCCTGGCTGTCTCGGGAAGATAGCTTGCCCAGAGGCCAAGCCACCCCGGGTTTCATTAGAGAGAAAAATGTGATGTCCCCTGGTGTGAGCAATCTGCATTTCTGGTTCAGAGCAGCCAGGGCTGGCGGTGATGTGTCAGTGTCATTGATAGTGAGTGGCCTTGAGCTTTTTAAATCGTGATCTTAGGACTCCGGGGAACCCGAGAAATGCATCATGGACCACACTTTCCACATCTAAGAAAATCCCAGAGAGGTTTCTCCTACTCATCTGAGAGGAAATGGAATCTTTTTTATTTTGTTGTTTTATTGACTTGCTACGTAGGGTCCTTTCCTTCCTTTATAAGTTAGGGCAGTGTGAGACTTCCCAGCTTCCCCTGCACTCACTTGCCATGCCACGGGGTTAACATCACACTGCATGCCACGAGGAAGGAGGGAAGCTGAGGAAGGAGGGAAGGAAGCGAGGCTGGTTGCTCTCCTGGGGGAAGGAGGAAACGTCCCGTCCTCTGTGGGGGAGGCAGGAACAGCCCAGGAGAGGCCCTGGCCTGTGCTGACGTCACTCGGGTTATGCAGATCTCGGGATTTAAGTCCTGTCCCCTCCTTTCTGTTTGTGAGTGTGCTTGGGCCCAATGTGATGACGCGTGGTGACGTGAGGCTACGGGCCGGCCGGGTGCTCCTCCGTGACCTGGGACACACACCGGAACCTGCGAGGCCTCTCCGCTCAGTGGAGGGTCCTTCCAGCTGTGCAGACCCTGCTTCTGGCTGCAGAGGGACCTTCCCCTGGGCCTCTGCGTTCCCTGGCAGGACTGGAGACTGGGGCAGGGCTGACGCAGAGGAGGACCAAACCAGGTAGGTCCGCAATTGTGTGGCCAGGAGCTCTTGAAATCACAGCCAGTAAGAAGGTATTGAAGACACCTAGTGAAATGCTCTCCCCTCAGATTCCTATTTTGGTAGGTCAGTTATATCATCTGCTGTTTGAACGCAACTGTATTTGCTGAAAAGGGTGCTGAGTGGATGTGTGGTCTGGCTGCATCCGGGATTCCCTGGCCACCTCGTGAACTTGACCCCCGCGATCTCTGCCATCTCCCCAGCCCTCCGACAGGGAGGTGGGAGAACCCTGGGCACCAAGTATGTGCGCTCTGCTCTTGGGGCTGAATGGAAAAGGGCAGCTCTGGGTTGTAAGTTCTGACCGCATGACCTACACTGAGCTTCTTATGGTTCCCACGCGGATACTTTGAATCTTGCCCTGCAGGCTAAGGAATACAGCTGACGTGTGACGTTCTTTCAGGGTCACAGTGGCTCCTCTCTGTGGAGTTAACGTGAGAACCTTTGTTCCTGGAGGGCTGCGTGCTGTGGTCTGAGCTGCTCATCCAAGAGCGGTCTGTCCCAT